AACTTACAAAATTTCGATTTAAATTGCAAATTAAACAGATAAGAACTCTAAAATGATATGTTTACTAAAAATTACTACTAAATAATTAAAAAAATCACAACTAAATGCAACAGCTTAATAAAATATAACAGCGAGTTTGGATATAATGGAAAATTTTTCCTCTTGCAAAGAAATTTTAACCTATATAGAATTCAAATGATTTAAAACAAAATTGATGTATTGTGACAAATAGAAGCATACATTATTCTTTAGCCCCTCTCGGTGCTAGCAAAGAACATTGGCTAGCTTAAGACTGATTCCTTGACAACTCAATTCCGCATCAAAACTATCTAGTCTCTCACCTGTAGATGCCCCTAAGCCTATGTCACTATGATGGTCGAATCACAGCATCAAGGTACTAAACCTTGAGCAAAATTAACAAGAATCTAGTCTGTCACTTTAAAAATAACTAATTTTACGTCCATCAAAACTTATCTCCCTATTTATTTGCACTCCCCCTTAGGTGATCGCAATATCTCTGCCTAAAATGAAGTGTGGTATCTACTAAATAGGTTAAACCATAACCCTCCCAGGTCATTATATTTCTCAACATATTTTAATCTCACAAGTTGTCAGTTTGTAAAGTAAATGAAGATTCAGTAAAAATATCATCGCAATTTTTAAGAGTAAAAAGAAATTTTTAAATCATTCTCATCCCACAAGATTAAGTCACGTATGCAAGGAGAAAGAAAAAGAACTACTTAAAATTCATGGAGATTAAACAAAAGCAAAACATTTGTATTGAAATCAAAGTCTTACAACAAAAATTTAAACACAAATACAAAGTACTTTATGTCTTTTTATGTCTTCTCCCACTTTATGTCTTCTCCCCAAGTAAATTTCTTAAGTTTCTTTTAAGCAATCTCCAAAGTTTTTCACACTAAAACACAGTTACACTTGTACTTAAAAACAAAATTTGAAAAACCTAATTCACTATCGCCGCCCAATCAAATTTTTTAAGCTCCGAAAAGTCTCTAAATTCGGTCAAATCCTTCTCATTAAATAGAAAACTGAAAATAATCAAGGGTTGTTTTAAACACCCCTAAAAAATTCAGTACAATTTAATGGATCTTCTAGAAAGATAGTTACTGGTGCTATAGCGCTCATCTTGCTCGTATATGGCGCCAAGGGATGGCGCTATAGCGCCACACAAAAATCTTCAATTTTGCTTTATTTTGCTGTCATTTTCACTAAATGTCAATTTCATATACCTGAAACTAAAAACATGCAAAAATACATTCCTTTAAAGAGCAATATCATCAAAAATGTACATAAAATGCTTATAAAATATGCACTACAAACAGGTTATTTTTAGGTGGATCAGTGGCCACCCTTAGATTGGTCTCTGACCTCAAGCCTGCTTCGTCCGGACGCACGTTTTGGCTAGGACCTTGCTCCTCTCGATGCAGAGACAGGAGAGGATCGACTGACTTTTTCCTCTCAACAAGGCTAAAAAAGCCTGATGCGTCGGATTGGGGGTCCTCTTCAGCACCAATCGAATCATTGTCGGAGATAGACATGACATCAAATTACAGAACATTAGGGGTCGCAACATCACCGCTCCCAACGTCAGTGGTTTCCTGTCGGAAAGCAAAACTTTCTCTCAATCAAAGTTAGCTCACCAATTGAAATTCGTTGGATTACAATGGTTCTTTCGGAGGTAGAAATAAGGAGCTCCAAACCTGGGATCTTCTTCGGGGGCGCCTTCTCACCCTCCAGTGGTTTCTTCATCATCAAATCCTCAATGGAAGCCTTGGACGCCTTATCAATTTTTTACATTACATCCGAGGCGGCCCACAACTCTCGACTCATTCGTTCGTACTTACCGGGGTTCAATACTTTGTTAACTATGTCCTCGCAAGTATATTGGATAATGGAAAGACTTTTTTCCTTCGACAAACGGCGTAAGCCCCGCATCTAGGGGGATCTTCTGTGGGTTGATAGGTTCCCAAGACGACCGAGTGAGAACCCCTAATGCATTGCTGACGTCAGGAGAAAATTGTGTTTCCAATTCTCTACCTTATTGTCCATGTCAATCAATCGAATATTTTCTATTCGAGGTAAAGTTCACAAGGCAATCTGGATCGACCCTGAAAGAAAACACATGGGAGAATAGCTCCCTTTACCAAGGAATCTCTATTCAACGACAATAAATGACATAGGTCATCACCGCCGCCATGTAGTTTGCCTTGAGTTGGGCCGAAATAACACAATAATGATTCAAAATGGCCCGAAACTCTTGATAGAGGGGAAGATAAAGCCCCTGAATGAACTAGTCACGTTACAACACAAGCCACCCCCCATAATCGTCGGTCGTTTGGTCGTTCAAGCTCGGAACCTCCAACACTATGTCGTCCTCATTTCGCCTCTGAAGTCTCGAAACCTCATCCAAAGATAGCATTGAGCACTCCGACGCACGCACTTTCCCGAACTCATGGGGCGAGATTTGGAAAGAATAAGGAGCGGCTTATCAGGGGAACGAGAGAAAGAAAGCAACCATGAAGAACAAGAAGAATAAAGTGAAATCGGGGAAGGTCGCCAATCCTAAATATAAGTTACAAAAGAAAGCTGAAGCGCTGCAAACCGTACCTTGGGAATGTTAATCCCGCATCACATCACAAAAAAAGAAGAGAAGAGAGAGAAGAAAAATTAATTAAAATATTCACACAAGCAAAAGGCACGCAAACTAAGAAACAAAACTTAAATTCATCGAAATAAGAAAAACTTTACAACCGGCTTATCGACCGCCTAAGGCACGACTAGTCTTCGCTTGAACAACTCTATGTACAAGACTCGACCCCCGAACCCGAACCTGTCAACATTGTCCGCCTCGGACTAAAACCTTAAAATCAAGCAAGCCTCTCGAACGTCCGTCAGATCTATACGCAAACGCACGGTCTCTGGGTCCTGTGGTCCACCGCATCAACCTTAACGTCAAAATGTTCCGCCGACAGCTTCTCAGAAATGGCATCCAGCTGCGCTTTCAGCTCGTGTATATTGGCCTCCCGACGGGCCTCGGCTTCCCTTTGAGCTTCAGGCTAGCGGGCAAAGAAGTCCGCCATTTTGTCCATACAGCAAACCACAGAGTCAGTTGACTCCCTTTTGACGGTCGCCGGTGGATTTTGCGCAACTTTCGGCGAGTTGACAACCAAACCTCGACGGCCTCAAGCAAATCAGAAACAAGAATCGGATCGGCTGCATAAGAAGAAAGAAGTCACAAGAAAATGCAACCATTTTGACCAGGTGAATCAACAGTCGAACACCTCCTACCAGGGAGTCGATCCACCTCAGACAGGACCAAAGATGAGAAACTCTCACCAAGCATGGGTGACGCGCCATCAGCTCTCATCTTCCCAATCTGAGAGGGACTGGCGGCGCCCTTATCTTTACGCAGCGTGTCTTCAAGAGCCCGCCGGGCATCTCTCTCCGTCGTCCACCAAGACAGGCTAGAGTCCTGGCAGGTGTAGTTACTGAGTCCTTGTCGGGCTTGCGACGTGACAAAGAAGCATCATTGGACAACTCGCTCTCCTCGTCACCGTTGCTTTTGCCTGATGGCCCATTTTTTATGGCTAGCTACTTCACCCTTCTCTTCTTAGCAGGTTTGCCTCACTCAGTATGTCTTCCTAGCTCGCCAATCAAATTGTCCTCACAAGGAAGACCCTTAGCAAAGACTTTCAAAGGACGGATTTTCTCAATCGTCAATCTGAAAGCCTTCATCATCCGATGGCTCATTGGGATTACTCCTCTTGTCACTTGCCATCAGAGCACCTTCACATAGAACGACTAAAATGCTAAACAAGAAATAAAGGCTAATGCAACCTATTTAAAGGGAGATGCACCAAAATCCAAGAAGTTTAATTATTACATGTTTATTTCGAGAATTAATGTAGCATTTAATGCAGTGTTTAACTTTCTTGTTTTTGTCACAGTTTTCATTTTCAAGAACATAATAATAAAGTTGGGGAACTAGAAATGTGTGACAAGGTCATGTCAGCGTAAATCCCAAAGCAGAACATGAGCATGTGACAAATGGAGTGGGCCACCGCGGTCAAAGTATTCAAAGAATAGATAATAGAATAATCTTATTTGCCTAGGGAGGAACCGAAGCAGAGACATGGAGGAACCCCAAAGGCCTCGTTTAGCTATTCATCTGCTCAGTCCACCGACCAATGCAATATCAGGACGAAAGATATCCACTAAGCGAGTCATTCGGGGTCAGCCGGTCACCGAGCGAATAAGAAAGGCGAACTAGAGGTTGGCCTTAATGTTGACATAAACAAGTTCAACTGGGACCTTAAGGCTGTCTCCATGTGGTTCGGCCCATCGAGGCCGAACGAGCGAGCTTGGGAGTGGCAAACAAAGATCGTCTATGTTGACCAGTCATCTATTCATTGGCATACTTAATGTATTATTCAAATGACTTACATGCCCCTAGACTTGCTTTTATAGGAAAATGGCCTAAGGGTAGTTATGTATTGAAGGTATCTCATATACCTATAGATAATAGGACCTTTCATGAGGAAAAAAGAGACTAGATACTCATATTTTTCCACTGTTCATCTCTTCTTCTCATTATATTGCGTGCTCTATTTATTGGGCATGATTTCCCGAACATTTTTTGGTTCAGCAATATATGTTGGCTTGAATCCTATCTAAATCGTGCAAATATGCATACCTTAATCTCCATATTTTCCAGTTTTATGCTAATTCATGGATTTATTAAATCTGAGAAAAATAATATTTTAAGAGATTTACACCACTTCACCATACCTCTAATTATTACTCATTGAGATTCTAAATCTCAAAAAATACATGTCAAAGAATTTACTAAAATTTAATCAGATTTAACAATGATAATAAAAAATAATTTCAGGCCTTCAGGATTTCCTGAATCCCAGTTGAATTAAAAATCTACTTGTAGACACAGCCGAGTGTAAAGGATAAATAAGCACAAAGCATACCGGGCTCTGCCAGAGATCCCAAGGCAAGGAAGGGAAAAGAGGCAGCAGAAAGAAGCATGGCAACGACCGCATCCCTTCTAATGAACCCTGATCGACTTAACGAAGCTAAGGCCTTCGAATGTGAACGGAAGTGATCAAGAGAAAATTCGTTTCGACTTGTTGGAATAGACTTAAGATGTTGCGAATCGCAATCGATTAATGCTGAGGAGAAGAGAAACAAGGGAACTTTATGAATTTTAGGGTTTGGACGTTTGGGAGCTTTCGACGTTGGAGCGGGCAGGGCAAGAGAAACGGACGCCATACCTTTGGGATTGGTCTCGGGTGTCGAAGAATTCGAGTTGTTTATGCAAAACTACAATTTCCCGTTACATTACATAAATAGGACACAATTTTTTTATATTGACCGGCAGGATCTTCACATTTATATATAATATTAAAATTCTTAAAATCACCTCTAAAAAAAATCATTAATGTTTATTTTTAAGAAAATATTTGTATATGTAGCACTCAATTTTTATATGTTATTTATCTCACATTCAAACTTTGATTTTTATATTCTAAGCACCCTAACTTATGTACGAAGAGGTGAATTACACAATTTCCATCTTTTCATATATTAGAATTGATGTTTCAGGTGTAAAAATCAAAATTTGGATATGAGATAAATAAATACATAAAAACTTACATCAAAATACTATAAAGATAAATATCAAACTTTAAGTATAATATATGTAAATACATAATAATTATATGATATGTATGTAAATTTTATTTCTTTTCTTAACAAATTTCATCTGGAATTCAATTGGCTCTTGTAAATACAACAATTTTTTTGGCTGGGTTGACTATAAATTTCAATAAAATAAATTTAAAAAATTTGTAAGCACAAACTATATCAAAATATGTGCTACTAACATAAGTACATTTTACTTATTTATATGTTGCTCTAATACATAGAATATAAGTTGGTTCACTTATGTTAATAATATTTAATTCTTATTTAGATATATGTATGTATAACAACCTTTTTTAAATTGATAATGCATATATATATATATCC